ATCCTCTTTCCCGACCAAATCAGCAAGTAAGTGAGACTGCATTTCCAGCGCCTTCTTTTAGTGCCTAAAGACCTCTTAACTCGATCAAGCCTAACTTGAACTGGTCCTTGACTTCTTTGAGAGTAAAATGTAACTCAATTTGGTACCAAACCTCTCTCTGCCTGCGTTTTTCCTTGAAGAAGCAACATCATCTACAGCAGACATTTTTACACATGAAAAAAAACGGAAGCCACCATGCCCAGGGCACCACCTTTTATACAGCACCTTCTCGTTTAAGTGTTAATAGAGGAGACAGGGGCTGTTTATATTGCTATTACTAGAGGAAAGACAAAATGTAGTGTTACTACTAGAGGAAAGACAGGAGCTGTTACTACCAGTTGAAAGACTGTAGGAACTGGTGTTTCTATTAGAAGAAAGACAGTAGTTTTGGTAACTAATAATTTTAGCTCTAGTGGACTAAATTGTAACTGTATGGATTTATTTGCAACGTAAATGATTTCAATGATAGAGGAGACAGGAGCTAGTATTACTATAATGGTAATACTAGAGGAAAGACAGGAGTTTGTGTTACTACTAGAGGAAAGACATGTGTGTTGCTACTACTACTACTAGAGGAAGGACAGGATTTACAGCAGCTACTAGAGGAAAGAGAGGAGCTGGTGTTACTACTAGTGGAAATAATGGAGCTAATGTGACTAATGATTCTACTATAAAATTTGAAGGTATGATTTAATTGTAACATAAAGGATATCAATTACTTTAATAATGATATAGAGGAGACAAAAGATAGTATTGCTATTGCTTGTAATAAGTGGAGGACAGGTGCTAGTGTTACTACTAGAGGAAAGACAGGAACTACTAGACAAAGGACAAGAGCTAGTGTTACTACTACTCAAAAAAAGACTACACGAGACAGTTTCCTACAATAGGAAAGGCAGGAGCTGATGTTAGAAATAATTCTGCTATAAATAGTGAAGGTGCAAATGTCATTTCAATGCAAAAGATAAATTATTTTAATAGAGGAGACTGGACCTAGAATTGCCATTGTTGCTCGTAGTAAAGGAAAGAAAGGAGCTAATGTCACAACTAGAGGAAAGGTGCTGCTGATACTACTAATGAAAAGAACAAAGCTTGCTTCAATAATATATGTAGCTCTAGTGGAATACATAATGAAGGTATTGATATATGTTAATGTAAAGAATTAATACTTCAATGATATGTGACAGCAGCCAGTATTGTGTGTACTAGAAGAAAGACAGGAGGAAGTGTTACTACTGGAGGAAAAGCATGTGCAGGAGCTGGTGTTACTACTAGAGAAAAGACAGGAGCTGCTGTTACAAATATTTCTACAATAAATAGTGAAGGTACTTGTATATGGATGTAATATTAAGTAAACGAATACTTTTTATAGCGGAGGCTGGAGCTAGTGTTAATACTAGAAATGTTTTTAGCTCAGGTAGAACAAATAGTAAAAGTATGTATGTAATTTTATTATGTACTTTAATAATGACAGAAGAGACAGGAGCTAGATTTGCTAATACTAGAGGAAAGATTAAAGCTAGTGTTACTACAAGAGGAAAGATAGGAGTTAGTGTTACAACTAGAGAAAAGACAGGAACTAATATTATTACTGATGGAGACAGCAGGTAGTGTTACTTCTAGGAGAAAGACAAGAGCTGGTATTACAAATTACTCCACTGTTGAAATAAGTACTGAAGGTATGAATGTTGTTTGTAATAATAATCATTTTTTTGATGATAGATAAGACTGGAGCTAGTAATATCACTACTGCTGGTACAATAAAGACAAGTGTTAAAACAGGAGTCAGTTCAGAGAAAGTGAAGAGTGAAAACATTAAAGGTGTGGTAATTTTTTGTACAGTTTTTGATCATTATTTTGAAATTATAGTGTATTGTATTTGTCAAGACATACATGTAGAATGCAAATATATGGTTGAATGTGATAACGAAAGGTGTCCTATTAAATGGGTTCATTATAAATGTGTGGGACTGACTGATGCACCATTAGGAAGTTGGTATTGTTCATTTTGCATGGACTGACAAATGAAAAGGATTCATAACTTGAAAATAATGACATCATTATTAAAACATTTTAACCCTTTGCAGGCCTGCATGGAATACTGGCCCTGTATACCAAGCCATAGTGCCCCTTCCCATACTAACCTTGATGTAGATCCTGGAACTTACTCCACCCCCAAAATGACAAGCTGCCTCATTACATTCTCCCAATCAGCCGATTATAACAACCTAACAGTACCCGTCATTATAGTGGAGGTTTATAGTTTAGGATTATATACATAGTAAGCACCACACTTCGTAACATGGTTCTAATGACCTTAAACTGATCACTCCTTCCACTAACATGAAGAAGAGTAAATGCATGCCAAGATAATGCAAAATTGGCTGGAAGGCCTGACCAAGGGTTAGGACTTGCGGTCACACCCCAAAACCTCCCATGATGGGAAGTTAGAGTGGGTTAGGTGTGTTGGTGTGAGTGCACTAAGTCAGTTGGCAGTCATGAAACAACATGAGCTGCAATAATGGACAAAATAAAATGTGATCAAAGAAATTACAACACAAAACCATTTACCACAAAATACATTATTGAGTCCCAAGACATTGGTAACTTAACACCATTTTTGGAGCCAGTGTTACGAGGGTCACTGGTGACGTCCGAATGTATGCAAGGTAGGCGTCTGAGTTCCATTGCCCCATTGCTTTCAGTATATGGACCAGAACTCCCGCCTCTGCAGCCACGGTGGCTGCACCTATTAGGAAACTATGGCCGGAGTATGAGACCTGCTACACCCCACTGTGGTCCTTACCAATTGAACGAAGGTTGACTGAAGTAATGAAGAGTCTTGTAATCTCACAAAGACAGGCCCCTGCCTGGCTGGGCGGATGGCCATGTAGCTCTGCAGGGCAACCACAAGACAAATCTTGGTTGACATAGCACCAATGTGAATCGTCATGCCCTTGCCTCTTTGGTCTGTTTTTGAGAAGCATAACCAAATCACTATCCATGATCGAAGATTTGCCCTATAAAAAAAGAATGTCTGAGTCACCCACTGCTGGAACTTCTGTTCCTTTTGATAGGAGCTCCCATAATCTGAAACAGCCAAAGAATGCAGTACATACTATAGCCCACAGCAGGCATGTGGTAAATTGGTCCTCCAGCCCAGATTCCCACGCTGCTTTAAATTTCCTCATGACATCTAGTGTGACCGGGAGCCTCTGTCTGGATGGGTTATCTCAGTTCTTTCTCTCCACCCCTTTAACAACATAACCTAATTGGTGCCATGACCCGCAAGATGCTACCCCCAGCCCAGCCTCTATACTCAAATGCCGGAGGGCTGACAACTACACTGACAATGAAGCTGGGCGGAGACCTTGATATAAGTTACAAAAAAGCAAGCTGTTTGCTCAGTTATTGGGAGTCGGTTGATGCCTGCTCCGAAGCAGAACTGCACATACCGCCGCTTTGCTGAAAAATAAGTACTCTTCCTTCTTCCCGACAGTCCTGAGACAAGAAGGCTTCTAGCCTCTGCATCCAAGCTTCTGATGTCCAGGCTGCCTCCCGATCCCACAACAGCTCCAGTAGCTGTGCTGGCACTGCATGGAGTCCGACTGGCAGGTGAAATGAGAGAGGCAAAAATTGTCGTATTACCACAAGGCAAAGCATCGGCTGCTTCGTTGGAACGACCGGCTAGATGCACTACTACCAGCTGAATTTTTAGCAAAGCGGAGAATAGTGACAAGTTTCAACAAGTGGGCTAACAAGGGGTCCTTTGCCGAACCCGATGACAGACATGCATCATTGTCACAACAAATTAGGGCCCGGGACCTGGCCCACTCCTGTCTCCATATGGCTATGCCGACAACAATGGGGAGCAGCTCTTTTGCTGCAATGGTAATTGACCGCCATGACTCCGTTCACTGCACCTGGAATCACTGGCCCACTGGCAGACGACCGCACCGCAGCCTCAGCGTCCAGATGCATCAAAGTACACTGTTTGCTGCCCATGGGCGACCCAAGTAGAATGACCGACCGTTTGAAAGATGCAAAAATTCCTGTCACCAGCTGATGTCAGACCTGCATTCCACATTCAGTCGCACCCAATGGTCGGGCTCTTGAGGAATCTTCAAAGCCTCCATGAGTGACCATGTGAAAGGCCTTCTGAGACTGACAATGCGTGCCGCATAGTTCAGCAATCCCACCAGAGACTGGAGTTGTCCCTTCATTACCAACAGTCTCTCGTCGTACTTCTATTCCTGGAGTGTACTCATCACGCAGATGTGTTTTTTCTCAGGAAGATGTAGCTCCCACTGGTCTGAATCAATTTCAGTTCCAAGGAACGTGAAGGTTTTGCAGGGGCCCACCACTTTTAGAGGAGCTGCCGGCAAGCCCAGGTGCTGGCAGAGCCCACTGCTGTCCTCAATGCCCGCTTGTGCTGGTTGGACTCCGCTCAGAAAGAAAAAAAAAAGCATCAAAGTAATGGAATAGGTTGCGAACCCCGCAACACTCCATTGCCCATGACAAGCCATCGACCCAGCTGTGAAGAACAGGGGCACTGACTGTAAACCAAAAGTAGGGCTCATTATGCCCCTCCAATGGATACCAAGTAGTGGTTGGTCTGCTGGATGGACAGGTACTACTTTCCTGTATGCTGACTGGATGACGAGTTTTGCCATCCATGCACTCTGACCGGCCTCAATTATCATTGCCACTGCTTCATCGACCGATGTGTAAGACAGTGTGGAAAGGGCTGGAGAGATGCCATTGTTCACGCTGCTACCTTCTGGTACAGACAAATCTACAATCAGGTGGTACTTCCCTGGCTGGCTTGTCTTAGGCATTATAGCAATTGGGCTGACATGCACCACTTCACTGGGGGCCGCTGTGTGTAGCTTTCACCCTCCAAATTCCTACCAAATGTAGGCTGACACAATGGCCTCATTTTTTCAGGCAGAAGGACAATAGGACCTCTCACCTTGAAACTGGTGGTTTATATTAAAGCCGATCCAAAAACCACTGCCTATTCTGTGAGCCAGGAAAGCTGCGAAGGATTGGTCGGGGAGAGACTGCTAAAAGGGCAACCATTCGGCTAGTGGGAGAAAGCCCCCGCTCCTTACCCATATGAAATGGGGTGCCTTCAAGTGTTAGGAGTTCGTGAATGTAAGGGTATGGCTTCCTTCTCCTTGCCTGAGTTCCTATTAAAGGAAACCAACAATAGATGCCGAACAACCCTAATAAGTCACCCCCCATTATGTCATCTTTGGCCAGTCCCGAGGCCTCTGTTTTTAGCATTAATACTTATGATTACATTTGTTATATTAGATTAGCTATATTCTGTTTTATTTCCTATTGGTTATTTATGCATTTTCTCCCATTTTTTGAACTTAATCCAAAGTATTACTAATAATGTTACCACAAGTAATATGAATTATTGCTAGCAAGTATTAATTGTTTTCTTCATGATAGATATTAATTTCTATCTCTATTATCTATGTTTGTATCAGTCATCGGTGCCGGTAAAATTGCATGATTTGTCGTTACTAATGACCTTAGTGGCAATGCAGTTGAAGGGTGGCTACTTGCCAATGCTCCCAGATCATTCTGCCTCCATTCATCTCTAATTATTTTTACCACTGCATAACTACTACCTACCTGTGTATCCCTAGATGTAATAACTCCCATTTACAATACTGCCAACCACTTTTTGCTGTTAGTGAAGCCAAACTGTGCTCCCCATAAAGGATCTGCTTTCTCGGTAGGTTATGCATGTATTTGTTTATTTGGATGTTTGTTGTACCAGCTACTATGTCCCTTTGTGCTTTTCCTTTGAATAGCTGCTACTTTACAGAGGGCTCCCATAGCAAAATAAAGCTTACACACTATTAACTTTCACATTTTTTTCTTGCTCCCCCCCTTTGAATAATACTCTGCATTTTAAAAATTATATTTATTATTTTTTTCCAAAATTAATAAGAAATTATTGATTGAGAATCGAAACGTAACTGTGACAATGTCTGATGCTATCATCACTGATCATCGATCAAAATAATTATTTAGAATAATATAGTTAATGATTGCTGTCTGGCTGTTGACACAAGACTAAGTGGTGGAGTACACTACCTACGCCCTGGCAGGGCCATTCCTAGATATAGATTGAGAACAATTGATGCATGAAATAAGTTTTTGAATGACTTTGATTACTAACTATGTCGTTACATGAGTAGCAAAATATATGTCACCATGTGAGGAGTTAGTGTATTATGTTGATGGAGGTGGAGTTTTCCACGGCTTCGTCTTCCCTTTAGGGCACTCCACGGCAGGGTGGCCTACCTTGCCACACGTCAGGCAGCTATGGTTGTAGCGACATTGTTAGCTTGAGTAGGAGCAGGTCCCGGAGTTGAATTGGCAACAATTGTCCATAACCCTATATGGATATGTCCTTGTCATTGGAAGCGTTCTGGGAGAGCTGTCCAGGCCCACCAGGGCACACTCCTCCCTCTGATGATCCCATGTGAAACACCGTGGGCAGGTTCATTGCTGGGGTTGATGCAGCCCCTCCCAAAACTGTTGCTGCCATTAGAAAGGGTTTGACCTCTGCCCATTGCAATGGCATACCCGCCGCCATCTGCTGGCCGAAATCTCTTATTGTAGTTGACCCACCCCAGGCTCCATGGCTCTGGGCCATCTGGATGATGACTTGTTCATAAGCCATGAGGACAGAAAGCAGTTGGCCCATGACAGTGGGTTGGAGATATCCTCACTGGATAAATTCATTATTTTGTTCCTGAGTTTTAAACGTTACTTATCAGTAGCAAAGATCATCTGAATCTACATATGTATCATTTGAAATGATAAGTTTTATGTTATTTTTGCTACACATGGTGCATGAATCAAAAGGAATGAAGATAATATTAATGTCAAATTTGCACTTGTACATCATATGAATTGTAAATATATTACTTGAAGACTGGCATTTAAGCAACTTAATTTTAAATGTCAAATAAGACTCAAATGTATCACAACTAACATCAAATAACAATATCAATATAGCTAGTATTTCAGGAGCATATTGCTAGTTTGTTATTGTGCCCAGTCTGAAATAAATGCCCATTCTGGGCAGGCTTCTGGTGGTGTACGGCTAGAATCATTTCCTTCTCGAACAGGTACTACCATTTGCTTTCCTCTTGCAGTACGATGCCTTTGTATCTTCGTATCTAAACTCTCAGTATAGTTGGTTAATTCTGGACTTCTCCACCTTAGGGGATGCTTCACAAAATACTTCTTCGGAGCAGCAACAGAATCTTCTCTGTCATCTTCATCGGATTGAACAACAGATTCATCTGATGACATAGTGTCAGTCACAAGAACTTCCATCACCTTTGCCTTTCTATTTTTATCAAATGTCGTAAATTCGTTCAGTACCTTCTTTCTGGCAGTACACTTCTATAAGTTAGGAAATTTGTCCGTATAAGTTATATTATACATGCAGATAGCAACTTACATTAATCATTTGCTGCCGACGTCGTTGCTGTCTATTTGTCTTTCACTAATTACCGCTAATTTCTCTCTGATATCTCTTTTTAGCGATCTAAAGTATGTTTTACAAGCCCCTAATGTTAATACACAATTATGTATGATCATACTTTATAATAAACATACTTGTCATTTGTTTGGGAGTAAAAACCTCGATTGTCATTAATCCCGTAATATTTCTAGACAACGCAGCATTGACAAGTTGGTTATCAGAATGATCAAACCTACATAAATCAGGAAGAGCCATAGTGTGCATAAAATATAGGTGCTTATCCAACTGAGAAATTCCACTCCAAATGGCTATCATCACCTTTAAGTTCTTTGTATGTATCATGGACCATTCCCTATGAATGAGAATGAAATTAATTATAACGTTATTGCCAGCTGCTTACTCCTAATTCTATTGGTTGTTTAGACCTGGAATAAGCAGGTTGCCCGTGATTTTTTGTAAGGCCTTTTAGCATACCTTCAATCCACTCTGTTCAAAACTATCTAATTGCTTACTGACTGTGCTGGCACTGCCACCAGCGTGCGGATGTGCCAAGGTGCCACATTCTCTACCAGCACTACATGGAGTCTGTGGACTAGTTCCAGTTGAATGGTAGTAGTTAGGCACCCTCAGAGTACGTACAGGACTAGAAATGAAGGTTGAAGCTGTAAGTGATGTGGAAACAGAGGATGGCTCACTAGCGGTACTAGGTGGCCGAGGCGGAGAAGGCCCTCCATTTGTTATTCTGTTGGGTTGATGTAGAAGTATATTTTCAGCATAGAAGGACATCTTTCCTTCACAAAAACTAATATAATTTTTCAGCCTAAAAGTCTGGCTGACTAGTAGGAATATCAGGAAACACTAATACAGAGAAAATATTAAGAAGAACAGTACTGGTAGCTGCTCCATAATGCGCATGTGCACTCGTGGTAGATTTACACCTACTCTAGTGGCTGTGTATTGGAATAATTAACTTCTTATGTCAGTACATAATTATTTTAATTATCTCAGAGATAGCCAATAGATCATCATGTTAACTACAGCAAGAAAGAGGAAACTGTGTAATCATTGCAATTAGTTTTTAACCATACCAGTTTTTGAAGGCACAAGTATATGTATTTTGAGGCTAAAACTGGTTTATGGACTAAGTGGAAGCCCCACAGTTTGCAGTTGTCATCATTTGATGCCGATGAATTCACAATAGAAAAAACTACAAATGACTGCAGTGGAGGTACTTTCACTGATATAGACCTAGATGTAACTAAAACTGGAATAGATGGCAAGTAAAACTGAGGCTGAGGTATTACCGTAATCATTCAGATTAAATTTATGCTTATATTATACTACAGGTGATGTTGTTTGCAACCCTGTTACGTACAGTGCATCATGTAGTTTGGAATCAGAGACAGTTAAAATCCTCTGAATCAGAGGAAGAATTGATTTCAAATATTGACGCTGATCTTGTCGATAAGGAAGTTAGGAATGTTTCTGAGCCTGAATTGTTGGAAGATTTTGATCCACATGACCCGCTACAATCACAGATTCATTCTCAATCTTCTGAGGAAAGGAGTGAATACCATTTCTTAATTTGAGCTTTTCTACTTTTAATTTTGCTATGAAGTTCAGTGAATGGAGTCAAACGTAAGGCATTGGATAACCTGCTGAAGGTATTGAGTTACTTCTTTCAGATGTTAGCAGGTTTATTTCCTGCAGTCCTAAATATTGCAAACTCCTTGCCGCAGAGCATTTACAAAATTTTTAAACTATTCTCATTACACTCAGATAATTTTGAGAAGTTTGTTTGTCCTGCTGAGCAAGGACATGAGCATTTTATGAAAATTTTTCAAATGTCTGAAAATCAGTATGAAAAACCTGCTGTTACACCTAACATCCATTTGCACAGGCATAAAAAATGTATATTGGATTATAGACCAGTTTATAGATTTTGGCTTTTTGCATTTGAAAGGTTTAATGGGATTCTAGGTAGTTATCATACAAATCAAAAGTCTGTTGAGATTCAGCTTATGCATAAATTTTTAGACAATATTTTAATAGCTACGCAAGCGGAAACTGATTGTTATTTAATTAATGAAGGAAATGACATTGCCTCATTTACAATGGACACCTTTCCAAGGAACAGCAGATGCTACAATTAATTTTACATTTCTTACTACTGAGGACATTGTTGCAATCTTATCTTTAACATCAACTCCAATTAAACCATCACATGAATTGTTACTGCAAAACTTGCCTATTCATTCCTGCCTGCATTTTCAAAGAAGTTTTGATGCCAATACTCTGCATTACTTGCATCAGTCT